TAAAGGGCTAGTGTCCAAAATATATAAGGAATTTATAAAACTCAACACCAAAAAGACAAACAATCCAATTAAAACATGGGCAGATTTTTGATAACAATGTGGGGGGGGGCGCAGAGATCCCAGCAGAAACATGAACAGACATTTCTCCAAAGAAGACATCCAGATGGCCAACAAACACATGAAAAGATGTTCAACGTCACTGATCATCAGGCAAATGCAAATCAAAACTATGAGATACCACCTCACACCTGTCAGAACGGATAAAATCAATAACACAAGAGACAACAGATGCTGGTGAGGATGTGGAGAAAGGGCAACCCTCTTGCACTACTGGTGGGAAAGCAAACTGGCACAGCCAATCTGGAGAACAGTATGTAGGTTCCTTAAGAAGTTAAAAATAGAGCTACCCTACGACCCAGCAATTGCACTACTAGGTATTTACCCCCAAGATACAGAAATACTAATTCAAAGGGATACATGCACCCCAATGCTTACAGCAGTATTATCTATAATAGCCAAAGTATGGACACAGCCCAAGTGGCCATCGACTGATGAATAAAGAAGATGTGGTACACATATATACAAAGGAATGTTACTCAGCCATAAGAAGGAATGAGATCTTGCCACTTGCATTGACATGGATGCAGCTAGAGGGTATTATGTTAAGCAAAATAAGTCAGAGAAAAACAAATATCATATGATTTCACTCATATGTGCAATTTAGCAAAAACAAACAAAGCAAACAAAGAAACGGACTTTTAACTACAGGGAACAAAGTGATGGTTATCAGTAGGGAGGTTGGTGGGGGTGTTGGGTTACACAGGTGATGGGGATTAAGGAGTACCCTGGTTGTGATGAGCACTGGGTATTGTACGGAAATGTTGGATCACTATATTATATATCAAAACTAATATTATACTGTATGTTAACTAACTGGAATTTAAATAAAAACTTAATAAAAAAAGAATTTCCATCTCTCTACTTACATTAATGTATTCTTACATGTTTCCTTTTCCACTAAAATCCTCAGCATTACTAATCATAGTATTTGAAAATTCCCGCTTTGATAATGTCAACATTCCTGCCGTATCTGATTCTGGGTCTGACGTTTACTTAAGTCACTTCAAACTGTTTTAATTCTGTTTTACTTTTTTGCCTTTTAGTATTCCTTGTAAATTTTTATTGCAAGGTGAACATAATGTACTGGGTAAAAGAAACTGCAGTAACCTGTCCTTTAGTAATGTGGTGGTAAGGAATAGGAGAGTAGAAGCATTCTATGGTCCTATGATTAGGTCTCAGTCTTTTGGTGTGCCCCTGGACTATGACCTTTACTAGTGCTTTTCAGTGTTTTCTTTCCTGTAGGTTGGACAGGACAGTTACAGGGGGCTGGAGTTGGGTACTTCCCTTCCCGCAGGGAAGTCTGGCTTCAATAAAACTCCAGTAGGTTAGGTTCTGGTGAAACAGTTTCTCCCGAGGGCCCATCTGGTGAAGAAAAACAATGCTCTCACATATTTCAAAATGGTTCCTCTTTCCAGCCCTTCCAGAAGCACAAAGGGATTCTTCTCCAATCTCAGTGAGAACCCGAGAGAACTCCTGGAGTTAAACTTGAAAAAGTGAAGAAGGGTCCTTATAACTGGGTCCATTTAGAGGCATTTAACTCTCATAACTGTTCACACTCAGCCTCTAGCAATTCATCAATTAAGGTTTAAATTTCTTATCCCCACACTCGTTCCCATGGATGTTCCTTTGTGTGGATCTCTGCTCCAGTAAATTGTGATTTTCTGTATCTCCCTGTCTATCTCTCCTATTTTTGGTGTAGACATCTGCCCTATGACCTCACTTCATTAATGGATCTAAGAATTGTTTATCTTTCAGTTTGTTCAGCTCTTTACTCTGCACTGACAACTTTTTTTTTTTTAAAGATTTTATTTATTTATTTGAGAGAGAGAGAGTGAGAGATAGCACGAGAGGGGGGAGGGTCAGAGGGAGAAGCAGACTCCCCACTGAGCGGGGAGCCTGATGCGGGATTTGATCCCGGGACTCCAGGATCATGACCTGAGCCGAAGGCAGTTGCTTAACCGACTGAGCCACCCAGGTGCCCTGCAGTGACAACTTCTAAACTCATTTCCCAGACCAGAAACTAGAGTTCTCTCTTCATTTTATGTTTTTTCATTTTTATGGTATTGCTGTGCTTTCTGTAGTGTCAGTTCTTTCTTCAGCCCCTTGTCATTTGGACTTTATTTCTGAAGTGATTTTTTCTTGTCCTTCAATTTCTTTTCTTAGTTCTTTCAGTTCTTATTTCACATCATCTTATCGTCTTGCCATCTCTTTTCTGGGTTCCTTTTATTTCTGCTCTGTGATACAATTGCTTGATTAAGTTCCAAAATTAATGTTGAAAATGCTGCAATTCTTCTCCACATTGTAATGGCATTTTCCTGGTGTTTTTTTCTTCTTCCACTGACAAAATCTGATACTCCTTTGTTTCTAGTATTACGTATACAATTGAATTTTTTCTTAAGTTTCAATTAGGTGAATTTTTCTGAATCAACTATTAACAGGAGGACTCTCTAAAAGAGGGAAAATGTTAGGATAGCTTTCCCTGTTTTTTTAATCTCAAGGGCATCCTCTTCTTACTAAGTGACAGTTTATTTGTATATGGTGACTTGTGGTGACCAGATTTCCTTTGATTCTCATATCCTTATTTGTTTCACAAGGGTTCCTACCACTGACTCACTGACGCTTCCTTTTTGACTACACTACCAGCCAGTGCCACCAGGGATGAAGTTCCTGAATAATGCTGTTTAAAAAAATTCTATAACATCTGTTCCCTGTATGCTCTCCATACCATTTTTCTCTGCCTCTCTTCCTTGCCCACTTCGTGTTCAGATATGCCCTCAAAAATTCCCCCAGAGGTGTGTCTCATCCTTCCGAGAATAATTATTAATTGATTTGGGAGAGGGGGAAGTGCAGAATATATTTTGCCACCCATGGGTCATTTGGCTTCCTCACCTGGACACCACTGTCACTTTCTACAGTTATTTTGGATTCTATTTGTTTTTCATACATTATTATTCGGTGTATTCTCTATCTCACAATTTTGCTAAAAAAAAAATAAGTTGTGGGTTCTTTATTCATTCTTCTTGTACTGTACAGTTTTAGGAGAAAAGATAGGAGGTATGGGTGTAAGTAGATTCCATAGTGCTACCTGAATCCCAGAGCCCTAAATATTATTTTTAACCATTCACACCAAATACCTCCACGATGGCTCTATCATTGATTCCAAAAGATGACAACAAATGGGGATTTTTAAGAAATACTGATTCTTGGACTTCTCTGCCAGAGATCCTCATGTAATCATTCTGGGATGGAGGCTGATAATATGTTATTATAAAGCCCTCTGTTTCTGATGCATAGCTAATTTAGAACCTACTAATCATGGACTTAAAACCCCTGTTTCAACAAGAAATGTTTTAAGTAAAAGACTTTTTAGGGGAAATCTGTGATTTCCCCTAAAAAATAACTAAGTTATTTTTCCTTTAAAAATATCCTTCTTGGGGCGCCTGGGTGGTTCAGTCAGGTTGAACATCTGCCTTTAGCTCGGGTCATGATCTCTACGTCTGGGACTGAGTCCTGCATTGGGTTCCAGTCCTGTATTGGGCTCGCTGCTCAGTGCGTGTCTGCTTCTCCTTCTCCCTCTGCCCCTCCCCCCAGCTGACGCTCTTTTTCTCTCTCTCAAATAAATAAAATCTTAAAATAAATAAATAAATATAAATAAAAATATCCTTCTTTGCTTTTTACTTCAAGTTAGCTAAAATTATCTTGGGGCTCCTGGGTGGCTCAGTCAGCTGAGCATCTGACTCTTGTTCAGCTCAGGTCATGATCTCAGGGTTGTGAGATCGAGCCTTGTATCAGGCTCTGCACTCAGCAGGGAGTCTGCTTGAGATTCTCTCTCTCTCTCTCTCCCCCTCTGCCCCTCTCCCCACTCACAGGCACTCTCTCTAAAATAAATATTTTTTAAAAATCCTTCTTTGCATTGTAATTCAAGTTAGCTAAAATTATCTGAATTTACATTTAAGGTAAATTTCTTTGGTTCTGTAAGTTGAACTAGCTCCATGTCTTTCTGAGTTTAATAGTTTTGAAAAATTTAATTTTAATGTCATTATGTAAATGTTGTATTCATAATAGGGAAATACAAATAAAGCATCACAGAAATAAATATAAAAATGAACACAAAAAAAAGATCAGGGCCATCGTGTTTGGTTGCGCACTGCAAAAGCAGGTATCAATCAGTTCTCAGTAATTCTAACATGAATACTTATGTCTATGCTGTTCATTGACTACACTATAAAAACTTAACAAGGGCTGTAAATGGATACGTAAATTGTTATTAGCAGTAACCATACTGCAGTCTCATCTCTCAGAAGAAGGTCTTTTATTTCTTTTATACTCCCTAAATAGTTATTACAATGTTCGGGCTATATGGTAAAATAATAAGAATGTAAAGAATAGTTAAGGCAAGCTAATTTTGAAATTAAGTTTTTTGATGTAATGTGTACTACAGGTTGCTTATTCAATTATTATCACTAAATTCAAAATCGAAATCTTTATGTGTATAAACGAGTCAAATGAGTACAAGCAATGGGTTAAACAGTTTATGCATAACGGAGAAATCACATACTACAACTTGTCCCAAAGATCAAAGTAATAAAGGCAAACAAAAAACTGACCCTAGAGCAAGTGTTCTCTTATTATGCATTTTCATAGATACCCATACATTAGGTCATATATGCTATAAAAATCTGACATACTACACATCAAACTTCAAGCAGAAAATATTTCTTAGAAATAAAACTCCAAAGCACTCATCACTGAAGAAGTTCAAGGTATCATTTGAAGGGTATAAAACTTGACTATTTTCAAAGAAGAAAAATTTTAATTCAAGTCTTATAATTATAAATCCAAAATAGAACATACCAATTACTTGTACCCCACATTCTCACCTGTCCAACCGGTATAAGCAGAGCAATCATGTGGGTCGGCTGTCTTCAGCCCCTCCTCCATCTGCTGTAAAAGATCTTTGATTTTGGTCTGGATTCGCCTTGTGAAATTATGAATGAGCTGAGAACCAAAAGAACACAGAAATTTATATTGCATAAGAATAGAGCAATATTATAATAAATACTTAAATAATCTAAGACGTCAGAACGTAAGAGGTAGAAATTATATTACCTGGCCCATTTCGATGCTTCATGGGTGTCTACCTTGATTTCATAAGGTAAGTTTTTAAATGAGATAATGCCCTATATGGACTATAGGCATTGGTAGGATTACAAAAAATAAGTTGCAGAAACCAAAGGAAATAAAAATTTAAAAAAAAAAGATGGATTTGACTACACAAACATGTTAACTTCTGTAAGTTAAAGAATATAAGAAAGATGGCTTAAAAATTAATGACAAGGGGGAAACATCTGCAATATAAAACATTATAAGTAAAAAAAGACCACAACAATACAGAAATAGACCTAAAATTATCAATGTACCTTACAAAAAGAAAAATATGAAATGACAAACATATAAAAAATGTTAAATTACTTAGCAATTAATGAAATGCAAATAAATATAAGTACCACAGTTTGCCTTATCAGATTAACAAATAATAAAAAAATTTAAAAATATTAAGTCCCAAGGCTGCTAAGAGCTAAGGAAACAAGTATTCTTATTCACTGGTAGCCTTTCTCAAGAGAAATTTAGCAGCATTCTTAAATAAGTAGTTGAGAGTGTTCAGATTTTTTTTCTTTTAAGATTTTATTTATTTATTTAGCGAGAGAGGGAACACAAGCAGGGGGAGTGGGAGGGAGAAGCAGGCTTCCCGCCGAGCAGGGAGCCTGATGTGGGGCTAGATCCCAGGACCTTGGGATCATGACCTGAGCCGAAGGCAGACGCTTAATGACTGAGCCATGCAGGTACCCCATTAGTGTTCAGGTTTTTCTGCCTTTGATGATTTCTGAAAAATCTAGCTGAGAGAGAAACTGCTGAGATATATTAAAATCCATGACTATGATCGTGGAATTTTCTATTTAACCCTTTACTATTTTTTGCTTTCATGTATTTTGTAGTTCTGTTACTAGACACAAATTTATGACTGTGCGTCTTACTGAAGGACTGACTTGTTATAAAAATGTCCCTCTATGAGACTATGGAGAAAATGTTTTTGTGTTACCACACAGTTTAGGGCTTTCAGGGCAAATTTTCCTGAAACTTGGGATTCTAGACTAAAAGCAACCCTTAGGAATTAAGTTACAATTGTATACATTGTAAGAAGTCCAGAGAGGTTTACTTAACCCTGGAGGTGTGTGTTTATATTTGACCGGGATGAGGCCTTAAAACAGGGAGACACTGGGCGCCTGAGTGGCTCAGTCGGTTAAGCAACTGCCTTTGGCTCAGGTCATGATCCGGGGGTCCTGGGATGGAGCCCCACATCGGGCTCCCCCTGCTCTGCGGGGAGCCTGCTTCTCCCTCCGCCTCTGCCTGCCACTCCCCCTGCTTGTGCTCTCTCTATCAAATAAATACATAAAATCTTTAAAAAAATTAAAAATAAAACAGGGAGACATTTCTGAGTTGTATAACTGAAGAGTAACGGGCTTATCTTTTTCATAGAGAAATCGATTTACATTCCAAAGACTTAGAGTATGATATTTTTAATGAAACTCTCCCAGAAGGAGAAGGGAAGACAATTGCCTCTTTTCCATTTGTAAAAAGCAGAGAGAAATTACTTTTCTCCCTTATTTGCCTACAATACACACATGTTGTGTATGGAGGACATTTGGCATAGGTTTCATTGTGTTGCCCCACAGGGAAGAGCTGAGACACTGGTTATAGTCTGTCTGATAAATAACAAATCTCTGATCCAGAAACCTCTTGTGTACATTCAGGAAAAAAATAACAGATAAAGATCAAAGACCTAAACCAGGGTGACATCAGCATCACTGCAGCATTAGGATTAGGCATCCCTTGTTTTTGTCCTCCCTTTAACAAAAATTAGGCATCCATCCACAAACAGAAGTGCTTTTGTGTGAGCTGTGGAACCCAGCACCTTACACCAAGGGACCCGTGGGAGGTCTCGCCCACCAGTCTATCAGGTAATAAGCAGAGATTTTGGTACTGGCTGTGGAACCTACAGGAGACTGGGAACTAGTTGTCGCCCCCCAACCCCCAAGCTGTGATCTGAGAGTGCATGCAGAACCCCAAGTTGAGCAATCACTTTCAGATCAGAAAACCTTTGGAGAAGTCCAGATTTTCAGAGGAAATGTTCCAACAGTCCATTAGAGGAAAAAAAATGAGTTTGTAGGCATTAAATTGGGAAAGAGCTTGTCTTTATCAGCATTACTGCTTCCCAAAGGTGGAACAGTATAGGACTAAATATATGGCCCATGTTTTCTCCCACGGGGAAAAGGGAGAGCCCTTGAGTGAATGCCCAGTTTTCAAATCTGTGCAGGACTCTGCTGAAGAGACTCATTCTTCTTTCATGGCATTCAGAGCATTACTGAGAGAGCTCTATGACTGGAGAGAACAGGAAAATTGGGGCAAGAGCATATAAGATGCCCAGAGCAGAGCGCATGAAAGGGGCACAATTCCTGCAAATGTGTTCTGGACTCAGACACAGGTTAATGAAAAATCAGGTTAATGAAAAATCAAGGATACAGGACATACCCAAAAGATCACAATAATCTTCCACTAACCAAACCCAAAGACATGAAAATGTATGATTTATCCAATAAAGAATTCAAAATAGCTGTCTTAAGGAAACTCAGTGAGCTACAAGGAAATACAGAAAGGGCTCCTGGGTGGCTCAGTCGTTAAGCATCTGCCTTTGGCTCAGGTCATGATCCCAGGGTCCTGGGATCGAGCCCCGCATCGGGCTCCATGCTCTGCGGGAAGCCTGCTTCTCCCTCTCCCGCTCCCTCTGCTTGTGTTCTCTCTCTCTGTCAAATGAATAAATAAAAATCTTCAAAAAATAAAAATAAAAACAAAAAAAGAAAATATAGAAAATTTAATGAAATCAGAAAAAGAACACATGACCAAAATGAGAAATTTAACAAAGAGATGGGAATCATAGACAAGAATCAAAGATAAATTCTAGAGCTGAAGAATTTAATGAAATAGAAAACACAGCAAAGGGTAGACCAAACAGAAGAAAAAATCACTGAGAAGATAGGAACTTCAAAACAACCCAGTCTGAAGACAAAAAAGAAAAAAACAGTAAAAAGATTTAAGAAGATCTACAGGACACCTTCAAAACAAAACAACAATATCTGCATCAGTTCCACAAAGGGGGCAAAACCTTATTTAAAGAAATGATAGCAGAGAACTTCCCAAACCTCTTAAAAGATCTGGACATAATAAATAGATCACCCCATTATTTTAATCTGAAATGTCCCTGTCTAAGACACACTATAATAAAACTAGCAAAAATCAAACTGTAGGAGTGCTGACAACACTGACTCGATCTTTGGCCCTCCATCTTGTTCTTCATGTTCACTTGATGACCTCTGTTGAAGCTCCATGTTCTGGGCCCTGGAAGATTAACATACATACCTTAGACATGCCCATCAAGGCCAGGATCGGGGGAGGCTTGCTTTGACCTCCCATGAATCTGTTAGAGATAACACAGTCTCACCCCTTCCTGATGCACAGGTGGTGCCATAAGATGTAATTAAAGATTAACTGCCAATTAGATACAGGCAAGCCCTTTGAAATGCAGGCAAACCCTCCGTGATCTCACTACAATGCCCTTCTGTGTGTCCCCTCCCTCTCTAAAATCTCTGGACTAATGTCTGGGTCATTCTCCACCCGATCCCCCATCAGTAAGTTCCCCTGAATAAAACACTGTAAACTGTATGAAGTCGCCTGCTTTGCTTCCCAGTCTCAAAGTCCCTTCTCCACTTGGGGGATGATGTAGGAAAGACGTCAGGGTTCAAAGCCGACGGCCAAGAAAGAATTCTTGAGACATCTTTGCTGTAAAAAGGTGATTTTGTTAAAGCCGGGGACAGGACCTATGGGCAGAAAGAGCTGCAAAGAGGTCGTGAGGGATGGCGATTATATACCCACAAGTTGGGAGGAGGTTTAGGGATAGTGTAAGTCTCTAAGGAATTTTGAAAACAAGGTTTTCAGGACCTTTAAGGGACTTAGCCATTGTTGGGAAAAGGTCATTTATTACCGTTTAATAAAATCTTAGTCCTGAGACCCTTCAGATGGGTCATATGCTTGGGAGATGATTGCCAACACATATCTTGCAGGGTTTAGAGAGAAAGGAAAATTTCTGAAGGAATTTTTATATGTTAAAGCAGACTTATGGGGGGGAGGGGGTTGGGCTAAGTGGGCCTTCTGCCCTGAGCAAGGTGTTGACATTGAGGCAGTGGAGTCCCTGGAGAAATTGTCACTCTGCCTGTTTCAAGGACTTGTCCATGGGCTGTGAGTAATAAGGAAATTTAATAATTTCTTTTCTTTTCTTCTGTCTCTGTTTCCCACATCAGGGATACTTTACTGTCCTTCTCCTACCTTCTAACACAACACAAAGAGAGAAACCTAAAGATATCAAGAGAAAAGATTATAGATAACCTACAAAGGAACCTCCGATGGGGTTTCTCAGCAGAAATCTTACAGTCTAAGAGAGACTAGGATCCTATATTCAAAGTGCTGGAATTCTGAGACATGATTACAGGGCACAGGTTTATCTACTTTTGGCTTCTTATTACCAAGGAACTAAAGATATCTGGGTCCATTGGTAAACAGGTTTGCCACACTGAAAAATCTACTATGAGGAAGAATATACTTCTAGAATTGTGAAATGTATTCATAAAATATAACCAATTCACAGAATGCTTGTGGAACAGATAATCCGTAATTGTTTACTTCTTAGTTTTCACTAGAAATTAAGGTCCCTAAGGGTTAAGAATTCTAAACAATACATGTCATTAAAACTGATAGAAATAACAAGACTAAAAGGAAACAACTGTTATTAAAAGTCTAAGAAAAAGTACAATTGTTTTGGATAAGGAAAGATAAGAAGAACATATTTTTTGTTAAAGAAAAAAAGTGTAAAGGCGGAGCAAGATGGC